ATAGATAGAGATAGATAGATAGATAGATAGATAGATAGATAGATAGATAGATAGATAGATAGATAGATAGATAGATAGATAGATAGATAGATAGATAGATAGATAGATAGATAGATAGATAGTAGATAGATAGATAGATAGATAGATAGATAGATAGATAGATAGATAGATAGATAGTAGATAGATAGATAGATAGATAGATAGATAGATAGATAGATAGATAGATAGATAGATAGATAGATAGATAGATAGATAGATAGATAGATAGATAGATAGATAGATAGATAGATAGATAGATAGATAGATAGATAGATAGATAAGATAGATAGATAGATAGATAGATAGATAGATAGATAGATAGATAGATAGATAGACTTCTTTAGATCCACAATTGACAGTTTATGACATGAAACCAACAGAAAAAGCTTGAATTCATACTAACCATCAAGGTCAATAGGTCAAGTTCTGTTTGTTTGTTAAGTTAAGTCTTGGGACTGTCAGGTTACAGGTGTTTGGTACTTTCACGTTCCAAAAAAACTAAATTCGCTTATCTATAAGTTTAATGGTTTAAACACAAAATATTGCCCCTTTAAAAGTATGACACATATGATCACTCTTCCAATCTTTAAATGTTTATTAATATGTTTAAACCTTAAATTTCATAAATTTTATGATTCAATCCATTCAACTGCAAGTACTTGTTATCATATCAATATACCATCAATTAATTCCCCCCAGAATTTATGATTGTGCATCAATAACACCCATTTGCCGGTATGTTTTAAAACTTCAGCTGTTTTTTAATATTTAGCCCAATTATTAAATGTAACATTTAAATATAAAATTTATAACTTGACATAAATTTTAAAACCTTTTGTCAAATAATAGATAAAAAAATGACAAGAATTCTACCGCTTTTAGTCACGTATCTGATAACAAGAAAGAATTTATGATAAACTTGAGTTTCTTACAAAAATTAAACAAATTTCTTTCAATTGTTGCTAACAGTTGAGTATCGCAAGTTGGTCTGTATATAGAATTTAAGCTTTAATTCTATCAAATTGACAAGTATTTTGATAGATTATTAAAATATTTCGAAATTTTAAATAATTCATCATTTTTTTAGTTAAAGTTTGTAATAAAATGTATATTACACAAGATAAGGAAAATAAATAATAAATTACACGTGCTAAATTTGATATAAAATAGCTCTTAGTGATTATTGTTTAATTAAACGAAAGTTATGTGTAGTGTAGAACTATGATATGATATAAATTGTTGATAAAATGTTGTTAATGTTAAATTTAAAAAAAGATTTTAAAAAGTTATTTTTGTAAAAAGTTTATTTTTTGTAAAAAACATATTTTTTTATACGGGAAAATGGGGGGATCTTTCACTTTGACTAGACGATGCACTAGTCTACTGACTAATCGATGCACTAGTCTATTAACTTGTCGATAGGCTGTTGACTAGTCTATTCAATGGCGTATTGACTAGTCTATGGAATAGTCTATTGACTAGTATATTCACTGGCCTATTGACTAGTCTATTCACTAGTCTATTGAATAGACTAGGGACTAGTCTATTGACTAATAGATGCACTAGTCTATTAACTGGTCGATAGTGTAAGGACTAGTCTACTGACTGCTCTATTTAAACTGGGAGGATCTTTCACTTTAACTAGTCTACTGATTAATCGATGCACTAGTCAATTAACTTCTCGATAGTCTATGCACTAATCTGTTCACTGGTCTATTGGCTAGTTTATGGACTAGTCTATTAACTATTAACTGGCCTATTGATTAATATATGAACTAGTCTATTGACTATTCTATTCACTAGTGTATTGAATAGACTAGGAACTAGTCTATTGACTAATAGATGCACTAGTCTATAAACTAGTCGATAGTATATGGATTAGTCTACTCACTGGTGAATTGACTTTAAGTAATCTACTGATGCACTAGTCAATTAACTTGTCGATAGTCTATTGACTAGTATGTTCACTGGCCTATTGACTAGTCTATTGACTAGGGACTAGTCTATTGACTAATAGATGCACAAGTCTATAAACTAGTCGAAAGTATATGGACTAGTCTACTTACTGGTCTATTAACTTTAACTAGTCTACTGATGCACTAGTCAATTAACTTGTCGATAGTCTGTTGACTAGTCTATAGATTAGTCTATTCAGTTTCGTATTGACTAGTCTATGGACAAGTCTATTGACTAGTATATTCACTGTCCTACTCACTAGTTAATTGATTATACTAAGGACTATTCTATTGACTAATAAATGCATTATTCTATTAACTGGTCAATAGTGTATTGACTAGTCTACTGACTGGTCTATTCAAAGTAGGAAGATCTTTCACTTTAACTAGTCTACTGATTAATCGATGCACTAATCAATTAACTTGTCGATAGTCTATACACTAGTCTGTTCACTGGTCTATTGGCTAGTTTATGGACTAGTCTATTAACTATTAACTGGCCTATTGATTAGCATATGAACTAGTCTGTTGACTATTCTATTCACTAGTCTATTGAATAGACTAAGGATTAGTCTATTGACTAATAGACTAGTCTATAAACTAGTAGATAGTATATGGATTAGTCTACTCACTGGTCAATTGACTTTAAGTAGTCTACTGATGCACTAGTCAATTAACTTGTCGATAGTCTATTGACTAGTATGTTCACTGGCCTATTGACTAGTCTATTGACTAGGGACTAGTCTATTGACTAATAGATGCACAAGTCTATAAACTAGTCGAAAGTATATTGACTAGTCTACTCAGTGGTCTATTAACTTTAACTAGTCTACTGATGCACAAGTCAATTAACTTGTCGATAGTCTATTGACTAGTCTATAGATTAGTCTATTCAGTTTTGTATTTACTAGTCTATGGACAAGTCTATTGACTAGTATATTCACTGTCCTATTGACTAGTCTATTCACTAGTCTATTGATTAGACTAAGGACTAGTCTATTGACTAATAAATGCATTATTATATTAAATGGTCGATAGTGTATTGACTAGTTTACTGACTGGTCTATTTAAAGTAGGAGGATCTTTCACTTTAACTAGTCTACTGATTAATCGATGCATTAATCAATTAACTTGTCGATAGTCTATGCACTAGTCTGTTCACTGGTCTATTGGCTAGTCTATGGACTAGTCTATTAACTGGCCTATTGACTAGTATATGAACTAGTCTATTCACTAGTTTATTGAATAGACTAGAGACTACTCTATTAACTAATAGATGCACTAGTCTATAAACCAGTCGATAGTATATTTCTATTCACTGGTCTATTGAATTTAACTAGTCTACTGATGCACTAGCCAATTAACTTGTCGATAGTCTATTGACTAGTCTGTTCACTGGTCTATTGACTAGTCTATTCACTAGTCTATTGAATAGACTAGAGACTAGTCTATTGACTAAGAGATGTACTAGTTTATTAACTAGTCAATAGTATATGGTCTATTGACTAGTATATCCCTTGTATGTAGACTAGTCTGTGGACTAGCCTAAAAACGGTTCTATTGACTAGGCTATGGAGTAGTTTATTGACTAGTCGATGCACTAGTCTCTAATATAGCCCATTGACTAGTAGTATTGACTGGCTGGTATATTGACTAGTCTATGGACTTGTCTATTTACTAGTTTACAAACTAGTCTATGAGATAGTAAATTAGATTATGGAATGTTCTGTTTGCTAGTTTATTGATAAGTCCAAAACTTGTCTTTGGAACATTTATATGCTTGTTATATACAGGAACTACGGTTGTAAGACCTCAGCTGAAGCTTTTACTAATTTTCCTTTTAGTTTTCATTAAAATTTTTAAACAAATAATAAAACTGTTAATTTAACAATTCCTTTCTATCGTTTACAGTGGGTCCAAAAATATGTACTTCCCAGCCAAAATAGTTTTTCGATTAAGAATGCCAATTCCGCCTATGCAAGGTAAGTTTAGACTAATTAATTTATTGTCAAAAGATTTTGGTAAAAAAATGTATATACAAAACTACACACGTTATGCACCTTAAATTAAAAACACACCTATTATTTTTCACCACACACAATTTCTTTACAAAAACACTTACACGCACACTTGCACATAACACACACATTTACAATTAACTGCTTTTAATTTAATATTTTAGTTTAGAAGAAGCACCCAGAAATAGTTAAAGAATCTCTTAAACTAACGCGTTCTTTTCGTAAACCTTTTTTTAACTACCTTTACTCTTAACATATTTACCTATAGTCTCGACTTTCAAATGGATATGTTATTCTTAAAACCCTAATTGGGTTGTATTTATTACGGTCTTTAATTTATAATTTAAACTTAAACCTTCTACGCTATTTACTTATTATTTCTTCATCTCTTCTATCTCTTCTACTACTATTCGCCTTGGTATGTTATTGTTTTTCTTTTTTTTTTCACTTATTCAAAATTTTTCATATTTTAACTAATTTTTTTTTTCAACTTTTTCGAATTTTTACTTTTTTAACAGTGGTGTTTCCATAGATATAACAAATAATGCTATTTGTCCACCTATTAACACAATTTCGGAAAAAGTTCCTAATACTACTAATTAATTAAATGATTAATACTCATTAGGTTTCATTGTTTATAAACATACAATAATATTATTTAATAAAATAAATTATAATTAACAGCGAATAATTTATTATTTTATTTACTAATTATCCTTTAATAACTCGTATTATTGTTAATATTATTAATAACATTTTATGCATTTAATATGTGTGATATTTGTAAATATATTAATTACTAACATTTTAAAATATATAAACATAATTATAAGTTTAAATTGTAATTAACTTGGCATTTATTTAGTATTATATTTCATAAGTTTTCTGTTTGTTCATTTGTTTCATATATATATATACGATTTATAAATGATCATTATGAGAAAGCAGGTTCATCCAAAAATAAAAAAGTATAAAATTATTATTTGAATATTCTTAACGGATTTTAAATTTGTATTTATAACTGGTGTAAATCATGTATACATAATTATTAATGATCTTCGATATTGGTTTTATATGTATTTAAAACAAAGTGAATACCCATGATCTGATCTTCTTCACAAACTAACATAGAAACACAGGTGATCTTAAAACTATTAATAGAACTGCTTTTGTCTGCTTAAAAAAACCTGTAGACTATCAATATCAGATGTTTGTTGTTGTTGTAATAGCTATAACTATACAATAATCAAATCCGAGGATTCTACATCGAGGTCTAGGGGCCTTATTCCTAATAATTCTATTAACTTTTTGATAAATAATTATGACCCTAGGTCTAAAAATTGTGCTAATTCAACATCATGCATCCATAAAGGCATTGGACCAAGTAGGGTGTGGCTGGCTGAGCAATAGTATAAGTGGTAGGTAAAACCACAAATTGGGTATTCGTTATTGACGGGACCAGTAGGCATGTAGCCTATTGCTCCATCCCGATCTTAGTTGTAACAGAATTTATCTAGTTTTCCGCGACTTTCTTCAGAGTATGCTATTGAATGTACGAAATTTATGCGGTATTGATGGCGTCTCTATTGAAGTCGTATCAATCTGCAGTTTAATAGATCAATTCAACATATAGGAAAAACAAACTAGAGGCTGCATATTCATTAGGGATGGAAAGGTCTAAGCGGAAAGATTAGGCATTATGACGTTTGCTCTATCCCGATCTTGGTTACACCAGAATCAGAGGGATGCCTCCAAAAGTCCATTGGATAAAGTTGAATTGGGCTAGTTGAGTAATTGCACATGTGGAGCGAATCATGATGACTTTGACCATAAGATTTTTTTTTTTGATATTTGTAAGAGATGGTACGGTCTATGTGGGACCGCAGGAGATATTTAAGCCTGATGCTCAATCCCGTTCTTAATTATTCCACAGTTACTCTAGATTTCCGTGGTAGGTTTTCTTTAAAGTCTGCTATAGATGGTACGACATTCATGCGGTATTGATGGTGTCTATATGACTGACGTTACAAACTGAGGATATGAGGACTTTCTATATAGGTATTAAGAATGATACTCCAACCCGCTCTTATTTGTATGGGAACTACTTTTCCGCGGCAGGTTTTCTCCAGCGTTTACTATAGGTACGAAATTCATCAGCTATTGAATGTTATTTAAAACTGTCGTATACCATGATCGATCTTACGGAAAGTTCGTTAGTAAGTTTCATCTATCGGGCCTATTGTGCGCTTCTTTAAAAAGTTTCTGGTGATAATCAAATCAACGAACTCCGAACGGACAGATTGAGAAAACATCCACATAGTGACTTATGATTTCCTCCTATACACTTAACAGATCATTGTGCTTATTGATCGTTAACATCGCAATGTCCTAGGAGAGGATAGCTTGCTAAAATTATGGGAGTACATGATCCACAACATGATCCTGTGTAATACAAGCTATGGGCAACCAAACGGATCAAGTAATTCAGTAATATTTGCAATGTTGTATAGTACGAGCAGATTCAGAATGTAAAGCATACGGAGAGAACATTAGAACAATGGAACTCTTCCTATATCACTGACAGATTTCCTCCAAAATTATATCCAAAAATCTTGGAAGATATTACATCCCTTAGAACACTATTTAATCGGAAAATTCTAAGGAATAACGTTCTTAAAACAAAGTTTGTTATCATCGAAAAATTAATGACTTTCATAGGTTTTAAGCCATATTATATCAGAGTATTCTGATATTAAATGTCTAGAAATGAGTACAGTATGACAGTTCTATTGATATTGAGACCAATGATTTGTTTCTTCTCGAAATTGTTACTTTCGGAACTGGTTATGTGCAAGTGTTTCATAGAACTTGTTCTTTAATGAATGATTTTATTTCGAATTAGTAACTTACGGAACTTGATTTTTTTAAATTTTCAGAAACTGAAATCGTTCCGTTTACCTTCATTCTTAATCTAGTTAATCTAAATCAATGTTCTGTTTCATTGAGCTTAAGGACTTTTACCGGATGGAGTGAAATACAAAGCTAGGCATAATCTCTTATATGCAGCTATAAGTATAAAGCTTATCTTAGTTCCAGTATTAATAATCCCATTAGGCTTTTTATACCCTACACCACTTTAGTTGGGAGGGTATATTGGATTTGTGCTGATGTTTGTAATATACAAAAATATTCGTCCTAGACCCACCTTAAAGTATACCAATCGGCTTAGAATCGGCTTAGAAATTCTGAGTCGATTAAGCTATGTCCGTCCGTCCGTCTGGCTGGCTGTCCATGTAAACCTTGTGCGCAAGGTACAGGTCGCAATTTTCAAGATAATTGGATGAAATTTGGAACGCACGTTTTATTTGACCCAAGGACGAAGCCTATTGAAAATGGTTAAAATCGGTCCATTATTTCACCTAGACCCCATAGAACAGAACCCCCCGAAAAGGGCTTCTGAGCTCATAATTATGTTAAATATAAAGATATATCGATAAAATACGGCACAACTAAGTTTTATAGTAGTCTTGATGACCCTGCCAAATTTCATAAAGATCGGGCCCCATTTGACCCTAGGTCCCATACAAAGTCCCCTTCAGAAAATTACTTGAATGTCCCAAATTAACTTATAAACACAAATATCGCGATGAAATTCAGCACAATAAAATATTATGTAAATACATATAAATATATTCACAAAATGTTATCGGGCTTGGTCCATATTTGCCCCTAGCCCCCATATAAAGCCTCTTTCAGAAAATTAGTTTTTCATCCATAAATTGCTTAAATGTATCGGAACAAGGGAATATTGAAGATAAATGCTTTATTATGAAAAATAAATCACATTTAATATTTATAATTTATATGGTCGGCCACGCCCGACTATACTTTCTTACTTGATTAAGTTAAATATTAGTACTAGTTATAAACTTTAAAGTGATTTCTGGACCTTATATAGGTACAAATGTGGTTTAGTGTGAAAACTGACGGTAGTATCTCTTTATCAGCGTTCTAGTTTATTAATCCAGAGGTTATAGGTTCAATTCCCACCTTAGGCATTGGTAAGGAGTCCAGCGTAGGTTTCCACAGGGCCTGTTGTTTAAACTATATTCCCGGCTGTATTCCGGTGGCTATGGAATTCGTGGATCTGAAATGTCTATTTTCAATACCAAATAAACCTTATAAATAGAGAATATTTGTGGAACTGGACATGACTAGATTGCCTTAGAATCTAATAGGGACCCATAAATATATACTTTTGAAATAAAATGTGGATAATACCTTCCATCTTTTTTTGGTGGATTTAGGAGTGTATGGGTTAAAGTAACATGTATGAACTAAGGAGAATTTAAAAAACCCTTTGGGCGTTAATAGGGGCATGTTGCTTCACATTAAAATATGTGAAACTCCAAAAACACCTTATAACCCATAATAGGCGAGATACATATATCTAGGTTGATAACTGCAATAACTGGACACTGGATGCTAGGCAGACTTGCATGTTGACCGGGGTTGCCCTCTGTGAATATCCTTATCTAGCCGTTAAGAGAAACTGTTTCCCCTAGCAGTTATTTTATATCCAATTTTAGATAAAATAACTGGGTCTGGAGAACTTTAAGCACTCAGTTCCAATCTTTCGAAAACGTTCGTAATTTTAAAAGAAGGATGGACATGACTAGATTGTCTTAGAATCTAATAGGGATCCATAAATATATACTTTTGAAATTAAATGTGGATAATATCGTCCATATTTTTTTGATGGACTTAGGAGTTAGATGTGTGAACTAAGAAGAATTAAAAAAAACCTTTGGGTATTAATAGGTGTATGTTTGCTTTATATAAAACCATCGTATGTGTCCCTTTCAATGAGAAACTCCCAGAACACCTTATAAACCATAATAGGCGAGATATATATATCGAGGTTGATAGCTGCACTAACTGGACACTGGGTGCTAGGCTAACATGCAAGTTGATCGGGGTTCTCCTACAATGATTACTGACAGGGAAAAGGAAGAGGCGGTCTTTCCACTACTCTGTAAATATACTGCTCTAGCAGCTAAGAGAAACAGTTTCCCCTGACAGTTACTTTATATCCAACTTTAGTTAAATATTTGGGTCTAAACTTAATGACATCTCAAGGCTATAGACTGGATCTAATACTATACATATTAAGTGTAAATACACTTTCATATAAGTTATAAGATCGATCGGTGAAAGGTTTTTCATAAAAATGGTGTTTCATTTATTATTCATTGGCATTTGGTGTGTGTTTTTCATTAAAATTCATTAAATTTATTGTTATTTTTTTCTTGTTTAAAATCATATATAATTATTAAATAATAAAATTTTTTCTGTTTTTTCAATCTAAATACAACTCTGTACCCCCCCCACATGTCTTTATGTTTGATGTTGTTTTTTTTTTTAATGTGTTTTTTGTTAAAATTACATAAAAACGTTAAACTTATACAACATACAACTTATACTACATACAACTATACAACAAATATAAATTATTAAATAAAACATACAAAATAATTGTGGTGATGCTAATTTTCAAAAATCTGGTATATAAATTTTGAAATTTTAATGTTTGATACTAAATTAAAATTTCACTTTTGGTGAATTTAAACAAAAATTTTTTAAAAATTAAAAAAAAAAGTTTTTCCTACAATTTGCAAAACTACAATTAATTGTCAAGGATAAAACGTCAAAAAACCAAAATAAACACTAATACTCGTCTTACACATGTGTTCATACTGTTCTATCTACTTATATGTTTCTTATATGTTTTATTAATTTCTTTTTTGTGGAAATTTGTACATTTTTTTAAAAAAATTTAAATTGATTCATTTTATATAAATTTCTTTTCCATTTAAACACAATGTGCTCTTAAATAAACTCACAAAATCTATGAAAACTCAACGATATTAAAATGAAATCATCATCAAATGAAAAAAAAATCCATAATTTTTTTTTTGTAAAAAAACA